TCATAAATTTAGGGTCAGCACAGTTTTGCGAAATTCAAAAAAAAATTGTTTTTGATTTAAATATTTTCTATATATTGCCAATAATGGAACAAAAAAGGATTTAGGTTCATTGGCTCCAAAAAATCTCGAATTCGAACAAGAGCCTGTAAGAGCACCGATTTTACGGAGGCGTTGAACATTCGTATTTTTATGTCCCTACCCAAGTGACGTTGTCTTCAGATGGGCCAAAGTCCCCCAAGCGCCATTCTGGCAAATTTTAGACAATTTTCCATGTCTCTTTCAGCACCTCACGTTAACATACTACCAAGATAACAGAATTGAGTGACATCTGCTATTTCTGTGTATGTTTATTTTTAGCGGGTCATTATTTCGGCCGTTGATTTTGAAATTTTCTCGCCATATTCGTGCTTATTCGGAGACCGACTCTGAGATCATTATGCATATGATTTTCCATTTCTATGTACATATAAAAAATGGGCTATATCATCTGCATATTCAAGACTTTCGCCACTATTCTTGAAGTTCCACTGGATACCTCTGACAATAGTTATTTCACCTCTTATGACATCATCCAACACCATTTATTGACCTTTATGAAGCACCCTTAGTTTCACATCCTATAATACAGTGACTTTATTATATCGATTATTTTGCTTGAAATATCTTTATTTGCTAAGGAATGCCATATTGCCTCTCGTGGGATCGTATCCAAGATACAATCAGTGGTGAAATCCATGCGGCCGTGGTCCGTCCTGAAACCCGACTGGTTCTCTTTAAGGCCTGCTTCCAAGACTGAAGTGTATTTTAAGCACCAACTCTAGCGGACATCGTCTCCTTCTGCTTTTTGAGTATATGTATGACATCCATTATATTTCTTTTGCTTGGCGGGTTCAGGCCCTTTCTGGTATTCTGAATACTGTTCGTTGCTGTGTATTTGGTTCTGGTTTATCAGCTTTGAAGCTGCTTTTGTATGGACGAAAATGGTCGTATCTTTACTTCTCTGACCTTTTCTTTGTACTTCTTCGCAAGCTCTATACTGCGTGATGCCAATAGTTTTTTCTGATTCCTTTTCTTTCTTTGATTTTCTAATGATATTACTTAAATATTTGAATTTCGATTAAAACATTTTTGAAAAATTTCCAATCTACACACTTTTTTTTCGAAATAAGAATGGTTTGAATTTGCATACCTATACGTATGCATTATATAGAGACCGAATCGATTTAAAAGGTAATAATATAAATGTCTGGAATATTAAATATTTAAAATAAGAATGAAACGATAAAGGTATATTATTATAATAAATACCTTCGATATTTTTTTAATCGCAATAAAATCGTTTTTCCAAAAGAAATATATTAAAGGAATTAAGATTTTAGTTTCTTAGTTTTTTAGAATTAAATTGCTTAATAAGAATATAAACTATATTGGAAACTATGAATTTTTAAGATTATCTACACTTATGTATGAATACGTTTCACTATAAGCATTTTCATACAGGAATCCAAATAGGAGTCCAATGAAGTTAAAAAACTTTTATAGTTTGCATCGAAACCCATAAACCAAAATCTTAATTTAAAAAATTTTTAAGTTTAAACTGAATTTTAGTTAACACAAATCTACTTTCCACCAGGATTTTTACTATTTTCACTATATTATTCAAGTCACTAATAAATTCTTGCACTTCAAAGTATTGCATTTTAAAAATTTTCACAAATTACCACCTACTCATATTCAAGATCATATTGATTAATTTCAGAAAAATTTCATGTTTTTTGTAAAATAAAATTGATAAAAATTTAATTTACAATTCCTCCCAATGATCACGATTGAATCTTAAGTAGATTTAATCTTCAAATTTAATAGCACATAATATACAAAACCATATTTATTAATTTTTCAAGATTTTATTATAAAACCAAAAATTCTTCTCTCAATTCGCAATGTCAATGATCTTTTCATCTTGTTTTCTTCCACAATTTCTTTAAACTTTTTTAGTTTCTTTTTTATTTTTTTTTTAAATATTGAACTTCTCTTATAATTATTTATAAGACTATTGCATAAATCTGTATATACAGAATTCGCTAGCTAAGAAATTGTTATATTAAATATAAGAATGTTGACTTTAATAAAATACAAAGTTATAAAATTTAAGTGAAAATTATGAACCTCACCTTGAAAATATTAAATTTTTTTCATAAAATGTCTGAAAGAATTTCATATAAAATTTGGTAATTATTAAAAAGAAATCAATTTATATAAAATGTTAACAACCTATTAAGTTTGACAATAGTTTGGATATCAAAATATTTATAATTTAAATCTTATTGCATATTAAACTATACAAACGCGAATTTTTTATTTTAGAATCTCTGATTTTGCATTGCAGATTCTTGCATTCATTTAACAAATTGCAGAAATTATTGTATAGGGAACATATTTTTTATTTTTAAATTTTTATTACCTATATAACATTAATTTAGTGAGGACCATTAAAATTCGATAACGACAGAATAAATGAAAAAATCATTAAAAGCACAAAAATTAAATGTAGTAAATTATTAAATGTCAAAAACTAAATTGAGTTTCAACTTGTTGCAACAACAATCTTTTTTTGAGCTGCTTCTCGATATCGAATGCTTTTATGCAAAACTTGTAAAGAATTGGAGAACGATAACGTTGCATTTTCTAATAACCAATTTTTCAATAACTTCATATGAGCTCATTTATATTGTACAATATTAAATAAAGTAAAATTGATAGGTAATAAAAAGTACCGTTAACTGAAATACAAAAGTTTTGCATAGAAGCTAGTTCATTCTTATAAGAACTCCTCAAACTTAAAATTGACTAATTAAAAATTCTTTATAAAATTGATTTTATAATTTATATTTCTAATTATACTTGTCCTAAAATTAACGGTCAATTAAAAGTTATTGCCATAAAACTCAAAATACAACATAAAAATGTACATGCGTACATACACATATTATTTTTATGTGTTTGTTTATGTTAATATCATATTAAAATCTTTTACATTTAATATTCATAGGTACTAAATAAAACGTTAATAAAAATCAGTAATTTGATAGCCTAATATTCTCGACCATTTTCATAATGTCCAATGTAATGTAATGCTCACTGTCGCCTAAGTGGGCTAGAGTACCAGCAGGTTCTGTTGGGAGAAATTTGTCTTTTATCGCTATGCGTTCTACGATTGATTCTTACCATACACAGAAATTTACCAATGAAGTGCTTTTAACATTGAGTCAGCAGTAGCTGGGGAATAACAAAACTTAGCTCGCAGTAGGTTGTCATCCGCAATGGAAATCACTCAATAAACTTGCGTAAATAGAAGTTTTATCAAATTCTTTCTTTTCTTTGAACACAAAAGTTTTAATCAATTCTCGCTATCATGACTTTAGATATGTTTTGTTGTATATTTTTATTTTCGAATTCCCAGTGGAAGTAAACTACTTAAATATATGAAACTGAACTAAAATAATCTTAAAAATCTGGCACAATCATATATAACTCGAGATTATAGTATGTACAAATATTCAAATGGTCTTAATCATATTTAAATTTATCTTAGAATTCTAATAAATGAACAACTTGACTTTTTTCTCCAAAACAAAAAAAAAAACAGTTTAAGTGACTTAAAATTATAGAATGATTTTTGTTACGCCGGGAAAGTCAAAAACATTATACTTAAATAAATATGTACATTAAGATAGCTAGCTAAGCAGAAAACACTCGCATATTTGTAATTATTTCTTCAGTTTACTCTTTAGTTAAAAAAAAAAACAAAAACAAGAATATACCAATTTAATTTATTCGAAAGTTTTATAGTTCAACAATCAAAACACTGACAAAAATATTTATTTTTTGTTAAACTTCTTTTTTAATTCTGAGAGAGGTTCTACAAGAGTTTTGAAACCTGCCGGATTAGCATTTGACATTTATACTATAATACACTTACACAATTTTTAAAATTTTTGAATTACTGTAAATTTAGTTGATTACCGAAGAAGGTTTTATTATGGTTGTCAAATTTTTGACAGCTTATTTAAAGCAAAGTGCCGTAAGATCTGATCTAAAAATACTTTACAGCCTGACAGTATTCGAATTTTTCAAAATAAAAATTAAACCATCTTTTATATTTTATTTTTACAAAACATTACACTTAATTTTCATCCCAATTTAATTGCGGAGAGTGGAGTCTGCTATCTCTGGAAGAGGACTTATTAAAGCGTTGGGGCACTTATTGTGTGAATGCGATACAGAATCTCAGCTTCTTTGTGACCCCGATGGAAGTTCCGTGTTGATATAGATTGGGGTGAGAGGCTGTGGATCGAAGTTAGAACTGCCTATAAGCTTTGATCTTCTCAGGTAAAAAAAAATTTACTTAGGAAGATAAAGTTCCTGTTAATTGAAAATTAGTTCTCTAAGCCGATGAAGCAAATTTTGTACGCGGTACTGTAAGTTACATTGCAAAACTTGAAACTGTTCTATCTTAATTCAGTTTCGCCTCGCTGTTACAATCTTTTTGAAATTTTATAACTTTGTCGTATAAACCATCTGAAATAGTGATAAAATACTGTAATATAAAATTTTTTCTCTGTGAACCATTAAAAGTTGTGTTTCTTGTTTAGTATATAAAATTTTTTTTCCATTTTCTTTCTTTTCTCTTACTTTTTTCATTCTTATAATTTGATTGCCATCTAACAGTACCTTATACTCAGGTTACAGGTAGTGAGAGGTTTACAACACTTGTAGTGTTCTGCTTTTCTTTTTTCATTATTATTTTTATTCTTTTCTTGATTACTTTTATTCTTTTTTTTTTATTGTATTTTCTGCTTATTTGTTGTTATATTATGACATTTTATGCATAAAATTCTTTAACTTGGACTTTCTTGAAGTCATTCAGTTCTAAGATTTTGTTCGGATAGCATCTTATTGTATAAAATAATATTCAATTTTTGTTTTTTTTTGTTTTGTCTTCTTTTACCAACATGAAAATATTTACAAGTAAGTCAAGAATTTTTTATTACAATAACAACATTATAGGAGTACGTGTATACATACATATTATATTCATTTATGTACATATAATAGAAATAAAACAGTTATAAAATATGGAAGTTAAATTTCACTTTATATTATACACAGTATAACAAGTAATAAGAATTATATTGTACTATGTATAAATGTGAATTTCTTATTAATATTATGTATGTGTATATGTACATACAATAAATAATATATGTGCATTGTTTTAACAAACAACTAAAGCATTTTGAATATATAGAAAATGTACATATACTCGTATATGCACAAATTTAAAGTGAATTTTAAATTAACAATCTACAGGTATTTGAGTACGGTAAAATACTTATCTGCACAAGTAGAATTGCATAGCTATACAAATTTAATAAATGGAATAAAGTATGGCCATAATAATTGTGAAAAACATTTATTTTATGTGGATTATTTATTATATTGCATTAAATAATTGTTGCATAATTATTAATGAATACAATTAATTATAGCAAAAATTAAATTCAATTTTACCCTATTTATATATTAAATGAATATTAAGATGAAAATTACAGAAGTAAATCATATTTTAAAATTTAATTGCTACCTACATTGAATGAATAACTGTATAATGTACTCTCAAAATAAATAATACTTGCGTATAAATAAATTATTACAATATAAATTAGTTCAAGAGGTGAATAAACTTTCGCGTTGTAAAATTATTACCAAAACAACAAAATATAAAATAATTTGATGCAAAGATTTGTATTAAGTGAATTAAAGATATACGTGCAATTTCGCTGAGTAATTAAAGAAACATAATATGTACAATAATAGGCCATGAGCACAAATGTATTAACTCAACAAATACGATTTACAGTTTTCAAGAGAAATTTGAAAAATTCAAATATTTGTTATCAGCTACATATTATTATAGAAGATTTAATATTCGTATGATCTTAGAATACACGTTCATTTATTAGTTAATATAGCTGCATATTTTATTGGTTAATTGTTAAGAAAAAAAATTCAGTGTTAAATCTATTTAAAAGTATCATATTAGATTTATCAAAAATTTGCAATAAACCCCCCAAACGGTATTACACTATTTTACAAAATTAAATTCACAAACAGTATTCCGCTCATGCCTAATTTAATTTAATAAAACCTGTGTTAAATAACAAAATATTTTTATCATTTTTAAACGTACCCACATTTCAATATTGAAGATTTGCAGTTTTTTAATAATAATTTCCTGTATAATTATCTACCCATAAAAATCTAATAGCAAATACGTATAATGTTAAAGAGAATTTGCTTTATACCGATAAAAACTAATAAAACTAATGCACGTCACTCTTATTTCTAATCAAAACACATAAAAAAATTTGGGTCAATTCGTCTGTGTTTAAACAAAGCTATTTGTAACGAAAAAAAAAATTTAGAGAAAGTTCATAATACCAAAAAAAAAAAGCAAAAAATATTGATATGAAAAATGAGAATTCTAATTAAGACTTCACGAACCTTCTCCAACATACGATTTTCTTTTTTATTTTGTTTCTGATAAACAAATTGTTAAAACCTTGTGGGATGACCACACAAAATATTCTAAAAACGTTCTAATTTTAATAGCAACAACACAATCTTACCATTTTTAATACTTCAAATGTTTTTTAATAAATTCCAAAAATAGAATAAAAGAAAACTGAAAGAGGTTCAAAATAAAATCAATAAAAAATATCGAAATTAACAAAACACAAATCGCGGTATATGAGTGTGAATTACAGTAAACGTTGTTGCAGCACTGAATAAATATAAATGTTAATTTAATGGTTATTAATATTAGGGTCAGGGACGTAGCTTAGTAATGAAATTTTATTGTTTTCATTCCTGCATATTTTTTTTTTGAAATTAAATTTTTCAAGTGTATTAAATAAAGAATTTTTAAAAATCAAACCACTACGATTTCATCTTACGAGTATCTTGTTTATATAAATTAGTCTGTAATTTAAAGTTTTTTTCAAATTATTTAATAATAAAAGCAGTTAAGGGGAAAAACTACATTTTGCAATTCATTATTTAATTAAATAGGAAAAACTTTAATGTTATAGGGTCCAATATTATAATTTATTGGAGCAGTATTTTCAGTATACTCAATATTTTTTCTTTTAACTTTTCTCAGGTCTTCAATTATTATTTTGTTTAATTACATTAACATTATCATTACCAAGGCACAAAAGAGATGTTAATGAAAATATAGAAAATATTCAACCAGAAAGTAAATTGGAAGAATCGAATTTACATAAAGAGGAAGAAACTCATTTACCTAAATTAGATGCCCCAAAAGAAACACCACAAGAAAAATTACCAGCAATAACAGAACCTACAAATGAAATTACAAATGAAACAAAAAATCCAAAAGAATTTAATTATGCTAGTCTTCAGTCACAAGTAATTGCAATAAATATTTTGAAAGATAATATTGAAAATCGTGGAAATGAAGTGTTTTCACCATTGGGAATTTCAACAATATTAGCTATACTTGCTGAAGGTTCAACTGGTGATACATATAAGGAATTCGAAGATGCTTTAGGATATCCAAATGATAAAACTGTGTTACGTGAATCATTTAATAATATACTTCAGGCATATAAAAAAAATGACTATGATATAAATCCATCTTTTAAAACATGGTTCTATATATATCGCAATAATACAGCTAAAGATAATTTTAAAGAAATCTTAAGAACTTATTACAATGCAGAAGTTAAAGAGATCGATAATAATGATTTTGATTGGGATGAACCAAAAACATCCCCTGATGAAATGAATGAAAATGATTTGCGTCAAATTACAAATTTAAAAACAGGAGCAACATCAAATGTAACACCATCTGTATCTGACAATAAAGAGCAATCTTCTAATAGTGATCAATCAGAAATTAACGATAAAAATAACAGCAAGGATATAATTGGGTTTGAAGATTTAAAAAAATCTAATTTTATTGATGAGAAACGTTCAGAAATAGTAGAATCAGAATTAAAACATTTACCACTCTCCATTTCACCATTATCTCCTACAAAGTCTTCTGAAGCAAAAGAAATAAAACAATCTGAAAAGGATATTGTAAAACCTTTACAAAAAGATGATAAGGATAACAATGCTGTTGAAAAAGTTATAATAAAAGAAACAACAAAAATCAATGATGTGAATCAAAATGGAGAAATTATTGAAATTGAGAAAGAAGCTTCAAAATTTGATGCAGTTGTTGATGATAAACAATATGTAGAAGTGCCTATTATCAAAGCAGAAATCGCAAAAGAAATGGAAGAGACACGTAATCGTGAAGAAAAAGAATCGCCAATAAAAGAAGAAACTGAAAAAGAAGAATCATCATCGCAACCAATGTTACAATTAGAACTAATATTACCAGCTACTGAATCAAAAGAAACAGAAAAAGTAAAAACAGAAAATGAAATTGATAAAAAAATTGATGCAGATGCTGAATCAAATATCATTGATGCAGTTGTAAAAGAAATTAGAGCAGAAAAACTAGCTTTAAATGATTATTTCAAAGAATCAAATAATGAAGAAACAAAATCAGATATTATAGAAGCAGAAGCAGCTGCACTAAATGAATTAAAAAAAGAAGAAAAACTTATTGAATCTGTTATCTTGATAAAAGAACCGAATTCCCAAGAAAGCAATGTACCAATTGAGGTACCATTAGAAAATCCCGATATTAATCAAATCCGTAGAATAGATTTGATTGATATAAATGATGAAGAGAATGAAACCATAAGTCAAGATGAAAAAATTAGTAATTTGAGAAAGCATAACAAAGAAGATGGAAATGAAAGCGATAACATCGAAACTGTTGTGTTTGTAGAATCAAAGGAACCAGAAAAAATCACATTATCCATTAAAAAATTTGATGAAGATAATGGGGAAATAATGGAAGCAGTTGAAACCAGTTTTACAAAACGAAAGGTTGGTAATTTTATTTTTGATTATTTTGTAATTTTTTTGTAACTTTAAAAATTTCAAGTTTTTGTGTAAGTTCCCTACGATTGAAGAATGTGTTTTCAGACATTTTGTGTAAATTGCGATTTCTGTTAGTTAATATAATAGTAACTACAGTTCACTGTTATAGATAGCAATTTTTAAGTTTTTGATTTTTGTAATTTTCAAAATTAAAATTTATAAAATTTTTCAATTTTTTTAGATTGAACCGCGTTCCTTACTACAAAAAGATGACATCGCATCAGCATTAAGTGCCAATTCAATATCAGGACGTGATAATCCTTCAAAAACTAAAATGCTTTTATTTAACGGATTATATTATAGAGGTAATTGGGCGCATCCATTCATGGAATTACGATGTGATATAATGGAATCATTCACAAGTATTGATGGTAAAGCAATTCCAAGTAGAATAATGACAACTCGTGGTAGTTTTAGAATGGCAAAATTAGAATCATTAGATGCTGATGCACTTGAATTACCATATGAAGTATGACTTTAAAAACCATATAAAAATTAAAAAATAATTTTAAAATTTCATATTTTTATTTTTCAAACACTTTAGAACGAAAGATTTTCATTTGTAATAATTGTGCCAAAACAAAAAGATGGTCTAGAACGTTTAATAGAAAAACTTCAACCTGTTGATCTACAAATGCTACAGACACGTTTAACAGATACTTTAACAACAATTAATTTACCTAAATTTGAAATAGAGCAAACGTCACGTTCTGAAAAGACATTGAAACGTCTTGGTATTAACAAAATATTTTCAGCTTATACATCAAATATGGCAGATTTATCTGATGAACCTGGTCTACATGTCGACGAGGTTGTTCAACATGTCAATTTAAGAGTTGATGAAGGTGCTGCTTCAGCAAATGCTCTCTCAGCATCAAATTCCCTTGGTAGATCAATATTAGAAAATAAAAAAGAAGATGACGATGAAAGACATTTTGATGTAAATCGACCTTTCTTATATTTCATAATGGACCGTGCAAGTAATTTCGTAATAGTGGCAGGAAAACTAATGGAACCACAAATAAAGGAAGAATTTGGATTCGAATCTTAACTTCAAAATTAACGTAAAAATAAGAAAAACATATACAAATACTGACTAATTTAAGTTGAAAATGAATTTTGATAAGACAAGAATGGTGAACTATATAGGCAGTAATATTTTTTGTTGTCTGAAACAAAAATATTGGTATAATAATATTATTTAGCATTTAAGACCTAGATTGTAATTATTTATTAAAATTAAGTAATTTAAGATTTTAATAAAAATTGAAAAATATTGTAAACAGTTGTAAATGAGGACATCGTCCCATCTTCATATGCTTCATGGTTACTTACATTGGCATTTTCTATAGCTATATTATTGCACAAATCGCAAAAGCATTCTTCCCACTTTTCATGACAATTTAATCTTCTGATATTTTTCTGAAAATTCAAATTGCATATAAGTATTTGTACATATCTAATTTTTATATAATTTTTGAGGCCGAAAAACTTTGCTTTAAGTATGTCAATTCTTTTTCATTTTTGTGGAAATAATAAATTTGAACGTTATTCGAACCATTATATTATAAAATCTATATATGAATTTATAAACACAAAAATTTTAATAAAAAAAAGACAAGGCAAATCGTTCACATTGGCTAAGATATTTGATTTACAATCATAACCAACGCGAAGCTTAAACTAAAAATTTTCAAAAATACTGCATATATTTAGGCGACAAAAAAGATAATAATAACGATTCAAGAAGATAAATCTTCACCAATGAAAAATATTGAATAATTTTCAATTTAGCATTAAGAAATGTTAAAGATACACATATACTCATATCTGCTTAATAATTGCACGTTTTACATGAATTTTACTTGATGAGACCTGAATATCCTTCTATTTCTTCTGTCAAACAAAATTCTGTCAAACAACATTTGTAAGTCAATGTTTTATTAAATTGTAATCAATTCCATATAAATCGTATCTGAAAACTAACTTTAACTAGTTTGAAATTCATATAATAATAAAATTTCAAAAATGATCGATTACATTTCAAGGAATGTGCATTTAGCTAGAAAAATTTAAAAACACTGTTTTAGGTTTTTCCAAAATTATAAATAAAGAGATCAAAGTATATTGATAATGTACACTGAATAATAATCAGATTAAAAATTAAAAATTTCAATTAATAATTTTTATATGTACTAAAAAATAGTATGATAATTTTTTTATTTGCATTAGGAAATGCAGTTGTGCATATTTCTTTGTGCACCAAGAAAATTCTATATATTTTTGTATTTGAAAAAACAATGCGATGATTTCATTCAGTTTCATGTAATTCTTATCAAATTAAGAAAGACGTATACTACAATACGAAATTACAGCCTTCAAGAAAAGTATCATTTAACATTCTACGTTTTGTTTACAGAATTTAAACATTACATATTTCATTAAAATAACATTACATTTTCGTATACACTTACATTATACACTCTTTTCTAGCCTCTGACGTCAAAAGCACTTTAACAAAGGGAATACATATACGTTGTATGCTACTTTGAAAATTTCCCAATCAAAATGAATCATTGTGCATATTTACACCCGTACGAACATATGTTTGAAGGGTATACTAAATTTGCCTCACCGTTTGTAACGCTAAAAAATAATGGTCAAAGATATAGACTCAAGTGTATGTTTTTGATCAGCATCGAATTCTAAATCGATTTAGCTTTGTCTGTCCGTCCGTCCGTCCCAACGATAACTCAAAAACTAATTGAGCTAATTTCATTAAATTTTCACAAATGTGTTTTTCTAGTAAGTGAAATTTCACACAAGCGAATATATGAGTAGGGTCATTGTGTTTGATAAATGTCGTTGAAATTGTTTGGCTCTTTCTGATAGCAGCCATAAAACATCAAAAGTTATTTGGCATTATCTCAGAAGTTATTGAAACTATAATATAGACATCTCGTGAAAACAAGGATATTATTACGTCTGTAATATAAATTATTGAAATTTCTTGAATCGTTTCACATAGAAAATATTGAAAACACAGTACTGAAATTTTGCATGAAATAATATGGTAATATGGCATATTCTGTTTGGCCATTATGCCATATGGTAATATGGTATAAGTCATAGTCTGTTCCATAGTCAGCTATGGCGTATTTATACGCATATAGGATAAGAAATTCGTACGGGTATTACAGAGTTGACACGGTCAACTCAATTTTTTCTTGTTTTATTTTTATATTTTACATTTAATACTATTTAGCTCTCTCCATTTGACTTTCCCAACCACAATATAGAATTCTATAAATTAAAATTTTTTCTACAATATTATTAAGCTTTTCTCTATTATTATTTATATCAATCTTACATTATTTACACGTGACCTTGCTTTATAAGGTGGCTCTTATTCTTTATCTTGAAATCGAACCCGTTTGTAAAGCTTTTATTTTTTTATAATTCATTAATGTTATTTATTATGTTATACGTCAAAAATAGTTTCTTAAAGAAATGTACATATTTTATCAAGAAGATACAAAATATTAATATCGTATACAATTGCAAAAAATGTTTAAAATTTGTACAACAATTAAAACACCATAAGCGTATTCGTAATTATAATATCACGTATACATACTTTTAGCGGGACATGTCCATAATTACGATTGATTCTACTACGATTTTATATTAAAATACGATTAAGAGTTAAATAATTAGTATTAGATGCAGCCTCAGAGTTTAATAATTTTTTGAAAATTTTAATTTAAAAATTATGGTTGAAAACGCAGGTTAATTTTAGAGGTAATCGTACATTAAGATAACCGCATGTATGTTATACAGTAAGCCTCAACAGAACTATTACTAATATAGAAAACTTCAGATCAAATAGGTAAATTAATAATTTATAGTTCTCTACCTTCAAATGACCCTTCATTGCTTCATTTATTTTTTTTGTTTCTAATTTTAGAATATCATTTTTCAATAACTTAATTTCTTAAATTCAAATAAATAATTCATAATATTAAATAATTCATGAGATTATTACAATTGCTACCATGGTAAAGATGAAATGTGAGGTTTTGTTATATTATAAATCTTAAAGCTTATCACTGTATTCTTTCATGCTAAACTTAACTAAAAAAAACCCAGTTATAACCAAGCTTTTTTCTTCATATTTACCAATTTATATTTTATCACATTATGTTACAATATGCATGGTATTGTGATACCAAAAAATTTAATATGACGAGTTTTCAATGAAAAAACGTTTCTCCATAATGAAAAAACTTAATTTAACTTGTTTTATAATACTTGTGTATCTCAATTTTTGGCCGAACTCGTTTTGATTAAAATTTATATTATATTATTTTTGAATTTAAGAAATTAGAGATGAATTGATCAACTTTTAAGTTATGTCAGGCCGTGGACTTCTACACGGATTGAACTAAATTTTTTAATAATTTTTTTTTTGGAAAATACACAAAACTTTTTGGAAAAACCAAGTACTATAGAAACTAAACTTTTACAACGGCCCGATTTTACATTTTTATTCTTTTATTCAATAATAAACGTCGAATTTAACAATGAACTATAACAAATTTTTCTGAATTCAAGAATATTAGAGCTGTAGATTAATTAAAAGGTTACTAACTTTTTTAAAATTTTAAGATGGTGTTTAATGAAATTTTTATAATATTATGCAACACTGCGTTATTCTAATATACATATATATATGTACATATATGTACAAACATTCTTATAAGGATATATACATAAAAAGTATTCAACAAATAATCACTGCGATTGATTGGATATATGCTAACGACATTAGATTTTTATTATTTTATAATAAACCTAAACAAAGTTCACTTAATTTAATCTTGTCCATATTTATAGTAAAATAAGTATAAGATTGAAAAAACCCAAAATACAAAAATTGTAAATATTTTTATAAGGACATTTCGTGTAGCAATATTAAGAATTATCAATGTTAGATTTATTAAAATGTTAGATGTTTGAATAATATTAGGAATTGGTCATAGAAAATTTTCTGTATTGAGTTTTTATGTATATAAAGACCCTCACGCGTATACATACATAAAGTATAGGTGAACACAGAAAAAAAGTAATTTCCCAAATTTCATATACAAAATACACATTAATACATGGGACCGCCAGAATGAAACCTAAAATCCTATTTTTTTTTTTTTTATATCATCCGTTTCCATGTGTGTATGGCATTATATGTATGTAAAATACTGAATAGATAATTTTGCCGTTCCCGTTGTTCTGTGTTAACACCGAAAATTGCTCAGAATTTAATTCTCAGTTTTGGTTCTGTTTTTACACTTACCTTACGCATCAAATAAATTAATAGACACAAGCTAAAAATTAAATTTTATTAAAAATTTTCTTTTCTCTTTTTAAAACGACTTACATCTTTTAACAATTAATTGACTTCGATATTTGTCGGTATTTTGTTACAACTAATTTCCATAAGGGTAATCCTAATATCTTATATTTACATATCACATTACATTACTTATATATAAATATAGGTATACATTTCTTTATAAAATATATATTGTAACATTTTGAAGAAGTCTTCAAGACTTCTTCAAAATTAAATTTATATCTTTATATTAAATCTTTTAACTTTATAATTATACCATAATAACTTTTAAAAAAAACCGGTATATGGTGATAATCATCATCAACTTTAAATATTAAATCTGCCTGTTGCCCATTAACTAAACAAGTATGTACATATGTGTACATATAACGTAAGAAAACAATATATATAAGTATATAAGACAAAAAACAAGTCTATTAACGAGAAAAATATTTAAAAACAAAAAAAACGCAAATGAAATCTGAAATCGAAAAAAAAAAATATAAGTTAGTAAAAAAATTTTATTTAAGTATAACAAGAAACTTCGCTCAAAAATTCTATTCAGTACCAATACAAATTTCAAGCTGATAAGTTTAAAAAAAAAAATTATTGTCAACTTTTAAAAATTAAAAATTTAATATTTTTTATTCTTTCTCTATACACACACACACACACATAAATATAAATGAAGTTCAAATTGATTTTAAATTAAAAAAAAAAATAATAATAAATAAATAAAATTTAAAATATAAAAAAAAAATAATAAGAAAATTTTAAACACACATACAAAATGTTGATGACCACTACGACGACAGCAGGTGATTAGTAATATAATGCTAAAAAGCCTTATAAATTTTATTATACATCATAATACAACATATACATACATACATACATACACACTTACTAAATATAATAATTAATTATTTTAAAAAAGATAAAAAGCTTCTTTTTTTTTTGTTAAGGTAAAATTTAAATTAAAAAAGAATTTACATAAAACGTGAAAAATATAAAAAATGAAAAAAACTAATATTTTTGGAAAAACCGGGAATATAATTACAGCGAACTTGTATATTTATAAACTTATGTATATATATATAATAAATAAATATATAAATTAATATCACTTGGAAAATACAACAGTTATTGCCGAAAGTATTATAGTTATCGAAATATTATAGTTTTTATATTAGTGAATACAATTTTGAAAAAATTTTAAAATATGCTTTTAGAGTAAAAATAGTGTATAAAACCTACATTTGTTTAATTCTTTACCCAAATCAAATATATCATGTTAAAAAACTATGCAATGAAAATCGGAAACCAAATTAAATAAGTTAATTGATATGGAATTGTATTAAAATAATTGTTTTTTAATGTTGAAAGTATAAGTATAACGAGAACAGACTGTTAATATTTTAAATGTGGAAAAAAAAACCATTTAAATTTTACATTTTGCAAAAATAGATGAGTTTAAGTTGCTAGAAATGGATGAAAAAATTATTTTTCGGCTTAAAAAATTCCTTTAAAGAAATATTTCAATCTGGAAAGGAGTTCCAATTCCATTTAAATAAAATTTAATAATATTCTTAATTATAAAGCTCAAATTATATTTAATATTAATACTCATAAAATGCATGAAGATTTTTAAAATAAATAAAACAAAATACAAGTAAACTTTCACTTTTAAACACTCTTATGCTTACAAGTATCAGCCTGGTCATACTTTTTCATAACGCTATTTACAACCAATTAATCAATAAACTCTCAATAAACTTAACAATTCTTTAAATTAATAAATTAAAATTTGAAATGCATGTTTAAAATAAAATATTATAATAATTATTCTACTTTTATAATTTCATTTAAAAAAATATTGAATTACTAATCTTTTAATATAATTGTTAAAAGATAAACTATTCACCCTTAACTATATAGAAATTTATTTACATTCATATAAGGTATAAATATATGTATGTATATAGAGAAATTTAATAGCCTTGCGGAATATTTTTAAACGTATATATACAAAAAAAATTCATAAAAAGAAAATTGCAATGCCTTATTTACTTATTATAAAATATGACGAAAATTGAAATTTAAAAATACTAACAAAAAATTTCAGTTTTTTCTTTATCAAAAAAAAATTACATATTTTTAATACAGATAGATTCAGTACTCTTATTATCGCTACGAATTTACTCATCCTATCTCATCCTATCGGAATAAATTCATTTTGACAAGACTGAATTAAGCACAGTAAACAAAACATTTTTCATTGAACTTTAGAGCTCAGATAGACATGCAATTTTTATGAATTCTACTAATACAACATCATAGTTGCGGAAATAATAAGAATGTGCTTATTACACTACTAATTTAACTTAAAGGAAATTTCTTCATGCAGTTGCAGAACAGATGGATGACGTAATCAAAGGAACGAGTTAAAGGCAGAAAAATTAATTAAAAAATTTTTCTCCTCGGACTGGGCAATTTCTTCATGCCTCTGTAGCTCAGTTGGTAGAGCGTCCGCCTAGAAAGCGGTAGGTCACTGGTTCGAGTCCAGTCCGAGGAGAAAAATTTTTTAATTAATTTTTCTGCCTTTAACTCGTTCCTTTGATTACGTCATCCATCTGTTCTGCAGTTGCATGAAGAAATTTCCTTTAAGTTAAATGCAATTTTTAGTTTTGCAACTGTTTGATTACTTATTTCTATGCCATTGTTTTATATTAAAGCGCAACAGTTTGTAATTTTTTATAAACTAATTAAAATTTTTAGTTAACGCATTCGATTATTTGAAAACACCCAATGATTTAGTTGCTTATGTACATGTGCGCGCAACAATTTCAAAATCAAAAGCGGAGTTGGAAACTAAAACATGCGCCATAATTTTCATTAATTTTTATTAATTTGATTTTCTTAATTTTTAAAATGAATCAATTTTACTAGTTTTGAAACCTTACAGGGTTATTAATATAAAATTATGTGCAAGATTACTTTCTACTTAAAAAAATAAATTGTCAGATTACTGTCAAATTAAAATTTTGTGATGAATGCGATTAAGAATAAAATAATTTTAAATTTTTATTCAAACAAATTAAAAATATATTGATAATTTTAATTTTACACTTAAACAAAGTTGATTACGGGTTTTACCCAAATGTATACAGACTTTATTTTACATATCATATACGCTATATAAAACTTACGTATGAATGAATCATTAAAACCTTAAAAAATTATAAGAGAAAAAAATAAAATATAACAAAATAATATTATTCTAATTTTAACAACAACAAAAGATACAGTTTTTAATTAAAATGTTCGTCATTGGCTATATTCAGGTTTTATGGATTAAGAAATCTGTGGCATCAAATTTATAATGAACTTTCACATATACCTACATATATACATAAGTATTTTTCATTATTGATAATGGCAACGAAATTATTATTCTTCTTTATTCTTTCTCATGCTAACTAAACGAAGATGTGAGAAATAAACGAGATTTTGATGAAATTTAAAACTATTTGTTAGTTTAAAAATACAAAACTCATTTGAATCACATTTCATATACAAGTTTTTAAAATAAAAAAAAACTAAAATAACTAAAATTTAAACAATGGATTATATGTACATGTTCATACATACTTATGTATAAATAATTGAAAATATATTTCTGCGGTTTTATATATAGACGTGTTTATACTTACTTTCATTAACTATTGTATACATACATATGTACACATAAATATTATTTATTTTTCTGAATCAATATGATTTTTTTTACAAAATTGTGTATAAAAAGCATATTATTTAAAACAATAGATACATATGTAAAATTAAATTTAAAATACATAAATACATATAGCATATCTGTATGTCAAATCTCGCTAATTATGAAATATTTCCATATCAAAATATTATAGAAATTAAAATTAATTAATTTTTCGAAAAAATATATAAACTCTGTGAATTTTAAAGTTAACACTATTTAAATACATATGTAGGTATATATATATTAAAATATAATGGACGTCTCGTGCGATACAACTTGATTACGTATTTTTCTACAATGTGACACCATTGTGTTAAATTTATTATTAAGAAATCATGGATACGAATTTAAAAATTACTTTATTCAAGTTTCATTGAAAATATTAATACTTCAAAGCCTCGAACAATTACAATATCTAATCTCAAGATTTATTTTCATTAATTTGTGTGTGCTATAGTCCGAATATAATTCAGTAAGAAGATTAAACGGTTTGATGACCCATACATGATAATCTTGAATCAAAGAAACGCAGCTGCAGATATTATTCTATTTCATTTATAGCTCATATAAACTTCAAATTTACACCATTTCTTAAATATAAATTACAAATAATAATTTTATTACGATATCTTATTTCATATTGAAATTGAAAATATATTAGGAATTATAATTAAAGAAATACTTACAATACTAATTACTACCAGTTTCATTTAATAAATTTCATTTAATAAAATTACATTTCTTTGTCAAATTACGGGAACTATGGCAGAATTCATATACATACATAAATGTAAATTCAAAATTGAAGAATAAAATTCTTCACACATTTCAACACATTTGGCACATCAAAACCAATACAAGCACACATTTAAACAAAATTGGCACATTATTGCAGATAATATAAAATTTTTATTAATAAATTAATTTAATTTTTTTTTACAGTTTTATTTTTGATTTCTCTATTGTATATTTGCGAACCGACCCTTGGAGAAAAGGAAACTTTTTCTTTATTTGGTGGGCAGCTTACATGTGAATGTACTCGTGCACAAAGTAAACATTCCAAACGCTCAGCCCAATATTATCCAAATCAACATAATATTTTTATTCCAACAGGCCGAGCACCACAATATGATCCAAGACCAGTATATGATCCTCTGTCACAAACAATTAATAGAAGAGAACCAGAAATTCGACACGGTGATGACTTTGGTGAAGTTCAACAGAAAAGAGCCTCAAATCCAATTACCTCATTCAGCTTAGATCTTTTAAAAAATATAGGATATCATCAAAATAAAAATTTAATATTATCACCAATATCAGCACAATTTTTATTGTCATTATTAGAAAAAGGTGCAAATGGTAAAACAAAGAATGAATTACAAGTTGTTACTCGTTCAAAAGGTAGTGAACAATTGAATGGTGTATTAAATGCCAACTCAGAAGGATTACAATCAGCTGCTGGAATTTTCTATGAAAATAATATAGAAATAAATGATAGTTATAGACAAAAAGTTGAAGGATTAGCCAAATTTCAAGGATATGATTTCAGAAATAGTAATACTAAAAGTGAAATAAACAAATGGGCATCAAGACAAACAGGAGGTCATATAAAAAATCTAATACCAGAAAGTAAGTTAAAAACATGGAAAAAAAAGGCGTTAATTAATCTTGTCCTTCTTTTTTTGTTAAGATTATGATTTGGAAGGTGTAAACTTAGTTCTTGTGTCAGCCATTTATTTCCATAATACATGGAAATTTAAATTTGAACCTATTGGTAATAAACAATTTTACACTGGAGATAAAGAAACGGTGAATGTACCCTTTATGGAATTTACACAAAACATTCCGATATATGAACGCAAAATTGGCGGAATAAACTGCACAATTGTCAATTTACCTTATGAAGTAGTTACATGAAAGTTCAATTAAAAATAATAGAAATAATATTGTCAATATTTTTTTAGAATGAACGGTACTCAATGGTATTAATTGTTCCATCACTTTCAAGTTCTGTAAAAGATCTACTTAGTAAAATGGATTCTAGTTCTTTAGACGAAATATTTGCATCACTCGATGAAACTTTCCCGAGATTTACAAAACTTCAAATGCCGAAATTCTCCTTAAAATCCATGGAATCTTTGGTGGAACCATTGAAAAGGGTAAATAAAAAATATAATTTTCACCATATTTTTTTTTATATACATAAATGTGATGTAAATTTTTATATACTAACATAATTTTTTCATAAATTTTTTCTACAAACATATTTTTTTTCAGATGGAATTAAGAGATGTTTTTGGAGGACAGAGTAATTTAGCAGGAATAACAAAATCAACAAATTTATATGTTAGTGACATTTTACAACAAGCAACATTAGATGTTGATGAAAACGGTACTGTTGCTGCTGCAGCGACAAGTGCCCTTTTAATTCCTTTGAGTAAGTAAAATTATAATTTTCTATCCACGGTGACATACAAATCACTTATATGGTTTAAGTAAGTTAGCTAATTGACGTTATGTACCAAAACAAAATTAGAAATTAAAATTGTAGCACATTAACCAGTTTTTATATTCACAATTACTCCGTTCAATTTTAATAAAATTGTCAAATCAACAAAAATTACTCCTTTTTTAATATCAGCTAAAGCATGCTTTAATAACTTAATTAAATAAGTATGCATGTACTTTACTGTTAAGCAAGGAAGTATTGTAAAATTATGGTGTATGATATTTATTCTACACTTCTTGTCACAATTTTTAAAATTATATATAATTGATTTAACAAAACGAAAGTAGAAGCACTATTATGTATTTCTTTGGAAAATGGAATACATACTGAATCAATAAATTGAGATAACTAGCAACATTTGAAAACATTATAATATGATAATACATTTAATATACTATTATAATACACTCACATTTAATTATATTTATAAAAGTAAATTAATTAATATTTTATTTGTTTTATACCATAGGTGCAGGTGCGAGACCCAACCCTAAGACTGTCACAATTAATAGCCCGTTCATATCGATTATACTTGATCAACAGCAACACACACCACTATTTATAAGTGTAGTAAATAATCCTGCATTGTAGTTTGTAATACAAAATACAATTTTTATGAAATTATTATAAGTCTTGTTCTATTTTAATAATATCGAAAAATAACGAATTAGGAATAAAAAATTATGTTCTTAAAAGATGAAATATGAAAAATACATACACGTATGTACATATACATATGTACATAAGTAAGTTTTTCTTGCGTATTATTTATCAATAACATTCTTACTAGCAGTTCGTTATCTTTTCCTGTATTCGACCAACCAAAGAAAGTAGTAACGACTATAGCGCCGCAAAGGCGAACAGTAAAACTAATAAGTAAAATCTTTTAGAATCATCGAAATAAATACACTTTTTAAAGATCAATTAAAAAAAAAAGGTTGTTTTTTGTAATCGTTAATAGATAATTTTTGATGATAACTTGATAGATGTATGATAACTTCAACAACTTGTTTTTTAATTTAAGTTTAAAAGATAAAACAGTCAAATTTCACTGATGACCAAACAAAACCAGCATTATCTATAAACTATAAAAGTATGTCTATTGAACGTTATTTGTAATAAAACTGACTTATCATTCGTAATTTCATATTGCGGACATATATTCAATATGGACAATCTGAAAACAGTATATTATGTAAAAATGAAAATTAAGGATATTTGCGTATTGAAAAACTTTTTATACCAAATACAAATACGCCAATGTTGCATACACCTGCGGGTATCATAACTTAACAAACATTTACGTAAATTTTACAACAGCTGACAGCAATTCACTATTTTTGTTAGCCGTCAGCCGTTTATATGCACATATTTCAATAATGTCAATGAAGAAGCCTATGACAGTTACTGTCACTAAATTAAATTTACAATCCGCGCGTCTGCAAAAAGTTTTTAAAATTAATAAAATAATAAGAATAGTTAGTGTAAACAATTTAAATTTATTTAAAAAACTGTTTTCTTCGAAAAATATTTTAGTAGATTCAATTACAAATTGAGAAGATAAATAATGAGTATATATAATGAAAATTTAGCAGTAAGTACATATAATTTTTTATCAATGAAATACCGGGCATTTTTAACCTAGTCAAAAACCTGATAAGAACCTATTTGTTTGTAGAATCGCATTTTGGAATCATTAAATTATCCTGTTATTGAACGTTGTACAGAGTTAAGTGTTCTATTTGAAAGATGTAGTTTGCGGGAACTTCAGGAAATTTTTCCAGCAGTAATAAATTCAATTTTTGGAATAAATAGCGGATGTCTTGGTTGGGGGCTACGGACAATAAACAAAGAAAAGTCATCATATCCACAAGTATTTGATACTTTGTATAATTTCTTCACACCTCTGGGGCCTATGTTCCGACTATGCTACCGATTATTAAATGATGCTATTAAATTTGAATTTAATATAGAAATGTTGCCGGTGAGTGTTTTATAATAATTTTCAACCCTTAAAAAATTAATATAAAAATGTTTTAGCACAAATTAACAGAAATGCTCCAAAGTGGACACTATTCCATGTTTTACGCGGATTTATTAAATATAGATCCATTTCATAGATGTATAAACTCTTTATCTTTGAATGCATTTGATTATTATATGATAAATTTCATTATTCATGGTACTTTTCCACTTCATAAAATGTATCCGGCTGCTTTAGAAGTACATAATGACAGAGTGAAAACTATATATTTTTTCTTAACTGCAGAATATTTATGTTCTTTTTTACCAAGTAATCCAGATGCAATAGTAATGCCATCAAACATATGTGGCACTGTCAAAGCACCACAACCAATGCCTGTTCAACAATTACAGCCCACCAGATCTCCAAAATATTTAAAACTTGGTCCAATCTCCCATTATAATGCAGCAAATCAATCAGCTGCCGCTGTTATACGATCTCCAGAATCACCGAGAGCACATTGTTGGAGGTCAGAATCCGTTATGTACTTATTTATAGACGGCTGGCTTAGATATGACATTGAAGAAGCAATGGTGATTTTTGAAAAGTGTTTACTTTAAAAATAATATATAATATGTTGTTTTAGGAATTACCCAGTAGTGAATTCATTCGGGTTGTTAGAATATTAGTAAAACAATTACATGCTTTTGGTAATTCAGCAGAAATTGATCCTACACCGATGAGCGCATTACGAAAAATGGCGCAACCAATGATGAAACAAAGAATTTACCCTTTTTTGAAGAGTATTATTGCTCGATGGCCTTTAGATAGTTCAATGTCTGTTGTTTTAGAGTTATGGTTAAGTTATATACAGCCTTGGAGATACACTTTCGATAGAAGTATTAGTGGGTAAATAGCAAGTAAAATATTGGTTTGAGTTCACGTTAAGAAATATTATTTTTAGGCCAGTACCAACGGATTTTCCTATTAGCAAATATGATGGATTTATCGCAGAAAATTTGGCAATTTATACACAAATATTTGTTCAAATTCTACCACGTTTTGAAAGACTTGATTTTACGTCTTTTAGGAATGCCGTTATGTTACATCGTTTAATAAAAGTTTTTAATCAGTCAGCGCTACCGGAAATGTTAAATGATTGTGAACGCCGATATACTAGTGCGAAATTTCCAATGAGTCCCCATCAGACCAGTCCAATAAGACAATCTCCGTATCTAACGTAAGTAAATATTCCCAAACATAATTTATATTAATAAAAACCCTTCTAGACGACCTCGAACAGAATCACAGCGCGAGTGGGACTCCTTTCGCTCTGAACACTATGTAGCTGATGATATTTATATTCCTTTATTTGGTGATAATATAAAGGGAGAAATATACCAACTTATTAAAACGGTTTGTGTTGCAAAAATGTATGTTCAGCAAGAAATGTGTAAAATTAATTATCAAATAAATGAAAAAAATTCAAAGCACGGTTTCATAAAAAGATTAATTTTGAGTTTTTTCGAAGATATAACGCCAGAACAAAGCAAATTACAGGAAATTAAAAAAATTCCAGATATTTTAAGTGTAGCATTATCATCCCTTAGCAACATGTTTGAGGTAAGTTCAAGTTTATATTAATTTATATAAATGTACGAATTAATTTATATAAAACAAATTTCTTTGTAGGTCGATATGCCAAATGTATGTGTCGATCACTCAGATTTGGGAGAAGCCAATTTTTCAAGTACAATGAATTTTACTTTAGGAGATGACAGTGATTATTTTGATGCTTCAAAAATATCTCCTTTACAGGTTTCAATGTGTATATTTGCTCCAAACAAACTTATTTAAAACTTTTCATATTTTTTAGATGAAAAGAAATATTGCAAATATTAAAGCAAATGTTGATCCAGCTTTGTTACCAATACAAAGTTCTGAAAATTCTTTTCTTGTAAGATCATTGCATCAAGTTAGTAGTAAAGTAAACGAAAACGTAAGTCTTGATGAAAATAAAATCGATGTTATATTAAATATAAACATTTTATTATTTTCATATAGTTTGGAGGCGAAATTCAAAAGCTTTGGGATCGAAAAGATTTCTGGGGTAAATTAACTCGCCAAATCATCTACCCACCAATTACTATACAGTGGTTTGACAAATCAAAAGGTATACTCCAAAATAAGCAATTACTTTTGTTTGAATACGTTTTTTTTAAATTTTAGGAATAAGTGAATTACATGAGGATTGTCTTGCCCCAAGACTATGTCTTCGATTGTTTGGCTCGTACAAAACTATTTTTACATTGATATTGGCATGTATAATTGGGAAAATATTTTGGAATTCTTATGTATTTGGAATTATTCTGTTAGGTCTTTTATCATTATTGTATTTATTTATTTCGGCACTATTACCATAACGTTAGTTTTCATTTTTCATTCAATATATTGTACAATTTAGAATATTATTTTATAAATTTATTTTTATACGTATCTCTATGTATATTAAATAAGAAATAGCAAAAACTGATTGCATTAAATTGGCATTTAAATTACATTTATTTTTAAATTACTAGATGGTAAAGTAATTTCCATAATGAGGATCAAAAAGAGTATGCATATATATGTAGGTACTTTTGTAATTTTTTCAAAAATAAAAATTGAAAGTTTACAAAAATTTTACTTATATTTCTCTTATAACTAAGCGAATCGGTTGATTCGGTACAGCCACCATACGTAAAATCACATCTACATCTGAATCATTTAAACATAATATTTCAAAATTTGGAATAATCTAAAATAAAATTATGTTCCTTAAACGAGAGCAAATACAAATTTCAAAAATTTACCTGGGATATCAAAGAGTACATTTGATTTAAAGCAATTTTTTTGCCAATGCACGATCGAATTCCCATAGCAAAAGGAATGGATGCAGTAGGATGCAAAACACCTTTTAACTCGCCATTAGGGTTTCTAAACCAACGTTCTGGAGAAACTTTTAAGGCATTAGGAAAACTATTTTCATCTCGTCCAGAGGTATAAAGTGATAAAAGTACTAGTGTCTAAAAAAAAATTGGTCGTTTTATATGTAAAATGTAATTTAAAAAATGTGTTATTTAAAATATACATCCTTATGAATTCTATAGTTTCCTATTATAGCATCAGTTGCTAAAAATCTACCAATAAATGGCGCTACTGGATATAGTCTTAAAGTTTCTCTAATTAAACCTTTTATATATTGACTTTCCTCATTTGCTTTTAAACTATTAATTTCATTTCTTGCAATTTTCTGTATATTTCTTGATTTCGTTAATAAATATAAGGCCCATTGAGTTGAATAAGCAGTCTAAAACAAAAAAAGAAAAAAACACAAATTTCAAATTAAATTGGAAAAATCAAATCAAAATAATTACCGTATCACCTGCTGCTATTATTAAATCTACAAATATTCTTTTTATATCATCTTTTGAAATTTTGCATTCAATCATTTTAGATAATAATCCATTGCCATATCCAAATTCACTTACACTTTTATCAATAATTTTATTACCCATTTCTAAAACATTAGTAACATTAGTTTCAAAATCAGTCCATATTTTTAATTTTAATATTTCAGCTAATTTTGGTGGAAAGTTCATTAAACTTGAACTTGATTCAAATATTTTATTAACATTTTTTGAAAAAATTTCAATTTCATTCAAAAGATCTTCAGACGAGGAATTAGATATTGAAATTCCAAACATTATTGAAGTAAGAACTAAAAATCAATAAAAAATTTTAAATAATTGAAATTTATCATAATTGACAAAATTTTACCATCAATAGACCATCTGTATAATTGAGCCTCCAAATTATTTAAATCAAGAAATGATGATGAAGTTTTTTGCCTTCGATATTCTTTTTTCCATAAATCAATTAAATTTCTTGACGAATTGTGAATATGTTGATCGATCCAATTACAATTACCATTTAATAAAAATTTATTCATTATTCTTCGGTTTTGTAACCATTCTCGTCCATTCCTTATTAATTTATTATGTTATTTTTTTGTTATAATTTTTTTGTTCATTTTAATTTAACCAGATTAAAGTCCAGTGAACAATGTTGAAGATCCAAGTAATGTAAATTTGCATTATCAGATAAAACAAAAATAATAAATTTCAATTAAATAAAGAATTTAAAATGAAATGAAAAAAATTATTTAATCTAAATTAATTTTTTATATCCAGTGTAGTACATAATGATATGGCAGGCACTATATATTTTGATTAACTTGAAAAATTTTCAACTTGCCCCGATATATGTACATACGAGTATGTGTAATATACGAAATAAAAACCTATTCATTTTGATAACATTATTGAATGTACATAAATAAAATTTTTAAATTAGACTACACATATAAAATAATTGTGCCCAAATACGACATAAGTAGTTGCCATATTTAAAAGAGTTTGTTTTGTGCATTAATTGCATATTGCATATTTGCATGTTGTAAATTTATTTCCAAAATATGTAAAAGCTTACATGAAAAATAGACCCCTTCGACAATTATGTTTATTATTATAAATAGTCCATGATTCTGGTAAGGGATGTGTTGGATATTGTCCTTCATAATTAAAAACTGTTCTCATTAAATTTGGTGAAGCTACAAATACAGCATCCTGAGTACTACCTAATTTTTCACGAAATATTGGTCCCAATTGTTCATGTCTTTTACTAATATATGTATGTAAACTGAAATTATAAAATATATGTAAATTTTATTATTAAAAACATACTTGTAAATGTGTTTATTATACAAAAAATAAAATTCATTTTAGAAATTGATTTTAAAATTATTTTTTAAATATGTACATTATTTCTTATTATTTTGTTTCGTTATAAAATTCAATATACAAAAACTAAATTTACAATATTATACTGAAAAAAAATTAAATACATAATTCAACAGGATAGGCCTAAATATTTGAATAATTTTTAAATTATAATAATTTAATTAATTCATTTAACAGAAAAAAATTTAACAAAAATATTGTTGCGACACGTGAATTCAAAATCTTTGCTCTTGGTAATATATAAAATATTTTTAATTCTGTAACTATGGAATGAGCTTCGGTTTAATTTTAAAAAAATATTTTAAATTATTTAGAAGAATATTAAAAAACAAAACAAAATGGAAAAACAAAGGAAGACAAAACGAATCTATATTCTGTTAAATTTGAAAAATTAAATGCTGGTGGCTATTTCTGACTGAGGCTATTTAAGACTGCAGCTCCTTAGGTTAGAACTGCAAAGTTTCACATGCTCTACATTTTTTACATTTGTACACCAAACTTTGAAGGATTTGCAGTTTTAACTGAAAAAAATTCCATTTACAGAAATACCCTGTGTTTGCTTTGGCTTACTATGTGCCGACGCCGTTATTCTATATTGGATTTGCAATTGTTGAAAATAAATTTCTTCTATGAAGCAATTACTAGCAAGAGTTTTGTATTGCAATATAATTTTGCAATTCATAATATACAGTAAAAGGAGAAAAAGTAACTTATAAATTTAACTCTGGGTTACAAAATACCGATGCTACAGTACCTTTAAGGCATTACCGTTAGTATTTTCATAACACACTTTTAATCAATATTATATTTTTTTAAAAAATTTAAGCTTTGTTTTTACTCTTACAAAAATTTTCTCTTAGTTCAAAAGAAATAGCTTTTCATTTTATAGTTAAAGCTTTAAAATAAATGAAAATATACTTTTGTATGTGTGCTGACAAATATAAATAACAAGCTAAAATTAAACGATTGATAACAGAAAATGGTAAAAATTATGACGTGTTTTACAAGCCAATGTCAAGTTCAAATCGCTAAAAAATTATGTTTTCCTTTCTTTTTTAAGTTCGATAAAGTAAACAAAATGTTTTTTCTTTTCTTGTTTTTTTTTGTGACTATAAAATATAAAGCGCTTACAAACAAGCAAAACTTAATTTTTTCTTTCCTTTTTTATTCATTTAACAAATTATTAAAATTCGGTATAATCATATGAGAGCGTTGACCTTTAATATTTTTATTTGTTGTTTAGGTACTCTTCAAGAAAATATTAATATTTATTATTTTTTCGAATTTATGATAAGATGATTTCAATATCTGATTCTTGAATACAACTTTTGCTTAAATATTTTTATGTATATACGAGAATTTATTTGCACCAATGTTGTCATAAGAAAATTTTGAATAATTATAAATAAATGTTCTTTATATATAGCGAAACCGTTTAATCTCTTAAACTAGTTCAACCCGAAATTTCATTAAACATCAAATTTCTCAAATACTCTCCGCAGTTCGGACTTTATAGCAGAGACCGATTAATCGAATTCTCCAATATATGTACATGCAGTGACTAATGTATATGCAGACTATTTAAAGGATTGATCGTCGTAAAGAATTAAATCTGATTTAAGGAAACTTCACGTATCTAACGCAATATTGCTGTTAAATCTAATAGTATAATACAGAACGACATTACATTTGTTATAATCAGTATAATAGTCATTATAGATTAACATTAATTTTTGTTTTATAAATACAAAATTTAAACCTAATAAAAAAAAATTATGAGAATCCGGTATTTAATTTGAAAGCTTCATAAAATAAATTTTAATCTACCTTATTGTCATTATATAACAGTTCAGGTATGAAACACTTATACCGTTATAATAATTCATTAAAATAGCTACCAACAAATAGGAAAATAAAAAAAATAACATTGGTAAATCGAAAAACGTGAAAAAAATAAATAATAATTAGAGATAAGCAATGGTAAATAGTCTAAAACCTAAAAGAATTTTTAATTTTAGAAAAAAAATTATAAATAATAAAATTCAAATTTTTTTTCGATAATTTTTGATTTGTGAAAATGTCATAGAGCGAAGACTAACAGGTATAATAAATATAAATTTTTTTTCTTCTTCCAAATATTTTAGGTGATAAACCACAACTCACCTTTTATATAAGCAAGTGTATAAGCAATATTATTATATACTTAACACTTTACATTTATATTCAAAATAAATAAATTGAAGATAATTTTGAGTGTTTTAAAAATAAAAATATAATTTTTTTGATTATGTATGTATATTTGAACTTGATCGAGACCTGAATGATGAATCAACTTATCATTAAATTAAATAAAAAAAAAAAATTCATTTAATTTATAGATTGTAATAAAAATTTTGTAGACTTTGTTTTTTTGAATATTTTTAAGTATTTTTATTATTTTATGAGAATTAAATGAAATGAGTGAAATACTAATGTGAGTGAAGAAAGTTTTTTGAAAATTTTTTTATGTTATTTAAATAAATTTTTTTGTTTTTATGTTAATATAGGATAACTATTATTTTGTAAGAATCTTACATGAATAACTTGCATTTAATTAAATTAATTTGAAAATTTTCCATTCAATTCTGACATACTTGTAATATTTGAGTATTATTATTTCCTATTTACTATTTTATATACATATCTAATACATATGGTATGCAAAAATAAGGCAGTATGTATACAGCTGTCACTGGAATAAGACATTGACAGCTGTATATGACGTCATAGGACACGAAACTGAAAAGTTATAATGAAAGTAGTGCTACAACATATTGAAAGAAAAACTATAAATATCATTAAATGCGTAAATTAATTAATTGTTTTATTATTTTGTTTTTAACTTATTTGTTTAATACTCAGTTTCATTACTTTGTCATTTGTGTTCCTGTTGTATTTGTAATTGTTGATATATTTTAAAATTTATTTTTATAGTTAGCTATTTAATTAAAATAATATTTATTCACAATTAACCTAAATAATATTAAAAGAGAAAAAAAAAATATTTTAAATATTCTTAGTTAAAATCTTTAAATCAAAATTCGAAACTAGTTTTATTTCTGAAATTTCCAAGATTTCATTACATAATTTTTTAAATATTTTTCATCTAATTTTACCTATTTATTTATTTATAATACTACTGAATGTACATACATATATGTATGCATTAAATTATAACTATATACATAAATATACATATAGTACTTACATATATTAAAATACACATTCCTATATTAACCTATATTTTTATATTTTTATCATTCTTTAATAATCTATAACATGCAAATTTTTTATTGCCGGAAATTCTCTTAAAATATTTACATATACATATATAACCGTATATAAGTAAAATGAATTTGATTACGTTGACAGAAAAACATCAAAATCAAAAAAATAAAAAATCTAAATTTTTGAAAAATCCGGTCAAAAATATTTTAAAATAATGTTAATAATTTAAATAATTTTGATATTTTTTTTGCTTTGGATTTGGAGGTTGAAAACAAATTGTTCACTGTTAAAATTAACATTTTAGTTAATTTCAAAGAGTAAATTAAAAATAGTCGTAAAGTAAACATACATAATGTATATAGATTTTAAAATTGTATTACAAAATTTACTTAAATATCTATTGTGATAAGAGCAATTTGTTAGTCCTTTCAAAAATTTTTTATTTGGAACACCTTCCTGCTTTGCAACGCAATATATAAGTTGAAACACCGGTGTAACTAAAAATTTTATCAAATATTCTTAAAATTTTTGCATTCCGAAAACATGTGAGCTTTGATACAGAATTTTTAACAAAAGACTCGTTCTTGATTCTTTAAACCAGCACTGTCCCATTTTAAAATATTCAAGGACCAGTTTCTGTCCCGAATGGCGGTATTTTATAAAATATTTCGTAAGGGTCGCAAAAATTTCCAAACGAAACGTATCGGTCCTGCGACAAGTCGTTCGAATAGCACAGCTCTAAACTATGATATATTATATTGTATACGCACTATTGAATCATCCTGTATATAAAAATATATCACTCAAAACTTTATTAACTTATCCAATATAACGCATAATTTAACGAGAAAAAAAATAGAGTTGACCTTGTCAACTCTGTGATACCCGTACGAATTTGTTATCCTATGTGCGAATAAAGATGCCATAACTGACTATGGGACAGACTATGACTTTAAGTTGCCGTATTACCATATTAATTTATTAATAGTAGTTTGGCACACACAGTATTTTTAAAATACTGTGTGTGCCAAACTGATTTTATATTTGCACACACAGTATTTTTCAAAATACTGTGTGTGCAGCATTTTGAAAAATACTGTGTGTGCCAAACTACTATTTAATTTGTATGGAACTTTATCAAACACATAAAATAAATTTTGAAGTTGAAGTTGTATGGCAGGTACCAGAAGGAGCCAAGTAATTTCAACGACTTTTGTGGGACACATTGGCCCTACTAATATATTCGTTTCTGTGAAATTTCAATACCATAGCTTATTTAGTTTCTGAGATATAGCCAAATAACTTTTGAAGTTGTATGGCAGGTACCAGAAGGAGCCAAGTAATTTCAACAACTTTTGTGGGACACATTGGCCCTACTAATATATTCGTTTCTGTGAAATTTCAATACCATAACTTTTATAGTTTCTGAGATATAGCCAAATAAATTTTGAAGTTGTATGGCAGCTTACTACAATAAATCATTTGTGAAAATTTGGTGAACTTAGCTCAATTAGTTTTTGAGTTATCGTTCGGACGGACGGACGGACGGACGGACGGACGGGCGGACGGACAGACAATGCTAAATCAACTCAGAATTTGACGCTGATCAAAAACATACACTTGAGTCTATATCTAAGACCGTTATTTCTTAGCGTTACAAACGGTAAGGCAAATTTAGTATACCCTTCGAACATACGTTCGTACGGGTATAACAAGAAACAAAACATTAAAATATAAACAAAAAAAAAAAAATTAATAGTAAAATTAAATCATATTCTGATCCTTAAAATCATGTCTCATTTAAAACATAAATTTCCTTGTACCTCCTAAAAAACTACTATATTTATAAAGAATAATATTTGACTCGTATATAAAATGACATAATCTCAATCTAAAATTACATATGAAATAATTTTTTAATAACAATGGACGGGCATTGGTATAAAAATAGTATTTTATGACCGTTCTTTAATAAGTTCGTTTTTTACTAACCTGGAATTGTTCCTAATTTTCAGATACCTACTATACGTACACAAACATGCACATACATACATAAATTGTATATTTAAATGTATAAATGTATTATTTTAATAAAAAAAAACTTTCATTCTTATAAAAGATGTCTCAAGGTTAATTATAACCTTCCACTTCGTTAATCTTCTTAACAAGAAGTTTCAGAAGAATATAAGAACTCCAATAAGAATAAAACGTTAGAAAAATATTCAAATTTTGTTTTATCTTTTATTATAATAAAGGATAAAATTTCTTCACCTTTTAATGGTATACAAATACATATATATACAAATATACAAACTTTAAGCTATTGTAAAATAATTATTATTAAATAAATAATTTAAAATTAGTAGAATAGTTTATGGGAATTCCCGATAATAAATTGCATACTTAATATAAAATCTTTAAATATTTAATAATATTTTATTAAAAAAAAAAAATTGGTCAAGGTCGTCCAAAAAAAATTATTTTAAAGGTAAAGGTGTCACCTTGTATTTTTATTATATAAATTCAAGATAATATTCGTTTAATTTTATATTTTGCAAAAGATAAATTCACATATATTTTTAATATTATTGTTTTTCGTTATTATTTATATTTTTTTATTCCAAGAATATTAATATTCAATTTCAAAATAAACTATTTCCTTAGCTATGCATAAATATGTGAAAGAGGTGATTTTTTAACCATTTGTGTTTAAATTTCGAGAAAATAACAGAAAAATGCAAGCTCGCGTGCAATTGTTGTTTTCCATTCGAAAATGGTTCATTCGAAAGATTCATTTACGAATATAATATTCCAATAGAAGTGCCTCAAATTTGAAAATACGTGTTTAATATTCTTAGCTACAATTAATAGTGTATGGCCTATATAATTTTCAAATTTTACCCGTCTATTTCAAAAATACCCAAAATATTAAAAAATTTACTTATTAAAATAGTTCAGTTTGACGTTGCCGTTGACAGCTTAATTGTCAAAAGTATCAAATTTAAAAAAATATCAAAAAGTATATGTCATCCTTAGAAATCACCCGTTATTTTTGCTGTTTTTATTGTTCTATTTTTTTTTTTGTAAGAAAACGGCTGATTTAAAATTTAGAATACTCAAGTGATATGATAAACAAAAAGATATTTTATATATATGTATGTACGTATGTATCTATGCATTTAATTAGATTTTATGTATTAAGTATACAATTTTCATGTCCTTAATCGAGAAAACATTCATTGTTTAAATTTAATATATGTGTATGTATTTTGTAAAATATATTGAGAATTTTCAAAATTAAAAAGAATAAACAGTGAGTAAGTGATCTTTATAAAAAATGCTTTTTTGTTTGTCCTTTGATCTTTTATGACAAAAATAAAAGCATAACTTAACTTTTAATGGAAATTCCCCAAAAATAAATTAACATCTGGATTTTTCAACAAAATTCCATCAACAAACACAAAAAAGAATTCGAAAAAAAAATTTATTATTCCTGAAGATTCTATTCAGAATTAAATTATTGAACTTTACAGAATGTATGTAAGTGTATTAAGAAATTTCTATACAATATATGAGAGGCTATATTAATTAAAATAACAATAATATACATATATATATGTACGTGTAAAAAATAGAATTGTTATAATGCTTAACGTTTAGTTTCCCTCTTTCTAAATAATTGACAATGAATTACAAATATGAACAAAATATTATGAACAGTAAATATTTCGTGAAAATGTACACGTTTCAAATGTTACTTTAAAATTTTAAATTATTGTAATAAACCAAATATTTAATTCTATGCGTACATTTATATAATTGTATGTAGGATGTATACGTATCTATCAAAAAAACAAAACCTTCATAAAACTAGAATAAGTTGAAACGGTCAACTCTGTGTTAGGTATACATACAAATTTCTGTATTGTATAGTTCAAAAAATGAGAATTTTTATTAAATATAATAAACTATTTCTGAAAATTTAATAAACTACCCTTAATTAGCGTTTGAGCTATCAGTTATACTAATTGATAAAAGTGCGGACAATAGAAAGACATGCATAAATTTATACACAATATAACACTGAACAATACATTTCGTGCATGTCTACGTCAATGACTAATGTATTTCTCACCCTATTACAAACTGGATGATAAATTTAAAATACTGAATGATATTGAACATTATTTGTACGGCTATATAAAAAGTAGCCGCACGTGATAGGCATAATATTCAAAATTAAGCAACAGGCTATCGAATTTCATTGAAATATGTTATTTATTATAGTACACATGTACATTTATAAAAATCTTTCGACAATTCTAAGCATTTTTTTTTCTCTTTTCCTTGCTTACATAACAATAACATTTTTGTAGTTACCTACTTGACAAATATTTTAATTATAAAAATGTTGTGTCTCATATTACAGTCAATCAAAACTTAAAATATTATACATACATACATATAATAATTTTGAAAATAATCTAAATATTAAATTAAAAGTCATTTGTATGTACATATATATCTAACAATATTTACCATCATGCCATCATAATCAACAAGCTAAACCACAATAAATTATTAGTAAGCATATATGTAATTTAAGTAGACATTGCGAAAAAAAAATGCAATTTCAATTTCGCTTAACTGTTTTTAATGTGTTGTTGTTTTGAATTTTTATTGTTATTTTCAATTTTATAAATTTTTCATTTCAATAAATTACCTACATATTGGTAATTTTGGGTAAAAACATTGAGGCTTGAGCTCCTCATTGCAATACGATTTTAAATCTAATTCAGCTTTAAAAATAATCGAAGCCGAAATTTTGAATAAAATTAATATGGTTAGATAGAATTAGTATGTTACTGCGTTACAGAACTCAAGGGTCCTCTTGCTCAGAACTCAAGGATAATTCCAAGTAATAGATGATGCAACATTTTCAAAATGAAAATTCGCTAAATATTTTTTAAACTAAAGGCTTCACGCATAAAATCTAACAGTCAACCTTTGAACGCCTTAATGTACATACATACATACACATACATTATAACTCTTCTTTACTGATATTCCAAAATGATTGTCTCACCGTTATATATTTTGGTCATCGCACAATAAGAGATAAAAATCTTATATAGGGCTTAATATTTCATCCAATATGCATATTATTTTCTTAATTTTCCTTACATACTTACATACAAATAATTTTTTTTAATCGTTAATATTAATTTCATTAACCTGAATAGCTTTCAAATGCAATAGAAATTTTTTCCAACATACATTCATACATGCATTTAACACTCAAAGAAATAGTGTATGTATGAATCTTTCTACATACTTACATACGTACATTTTTTACTTAAGCAATTTTCATTTTCGTTTACTCTATTTATGTGCATATATATATACATACATATTTATAAAAAAAAAACGAAAACTTAAATTGTAAAAAACCATAAAAAATAAATTGCAAAAGAAATTTTTACTATATAAACCTTAAGCATAAGTTTGAATGCCTGTACATACGTTTGTAAATAACTTACTGTTGTGCTGATCCAGCAGCAATAAAATCTAAATGTGTACCGAATATTGGTAATCCTTTTGCTGCTGGAATATTTTCAAATGGTAAAAATTTTTTTTCATCATTTTTTATTAAAATATTTAAATTTTTTTTATAAATTTTTTCGGAATTTTTTACTGTGATCATTGATACTGATGATTCATCATCATCATCATTTGAAGAAATAATTTCCTGTGCTATTGATGATGTTGATCTGATTAATGTTTTTTTTGTTTTTGTTATTGTTTCTTCAGCAGTTGTTATAGATGTTGATGAAGTTGATGATGATGATGGCGATGATGACGATGTTGATGGATTTGATGAAGGTACTGTTGCTGGAATTGCAATAGAACTTGCATTTCTTAATTTTAGTATAACAAATGGTAATAAATTTGTTTGTATTTTTTTATTATTATTGTTATTCTTTTTTAAAAAACCATAAATTGAAATTTTATTATTAACCGTTATCATTGTAGAAAAATTATTAAAGTTTTTTTTACTGTTACATTTATTTTGATGACCGTTAAATATGTGGCGTGTAATATGAGAAATAATTCTACGTTCAATTAAATTCATTATTCGTACACAAAAAAAAAAAATTTTTTTTTTTTAAATATTCTTGATTTTTTTAATTTTTACAATTAATATTCATAAAACAAATTTTATGTAAAATTTTATTTTTATTTAAAAATAATTTACATATTAAATAATATGTATAGGCACTTGTATAACAGTTTGTATAACACTTTGTATAATGCTTAAAAATTTATAAAAATATTATAAAAAAAATTTTTTTTTAATATTCAATTTAAAATTTGTCACTAAGATTCTTCTTTTCTTTTTTTTTTTAATTTTTTTTTTTTTTTTTTTGGATATTTTTTTCTTTTCTTATTATAAGTTGCTGTTAACCCGTATCGATAGTGTTGAAGACTGAAAATGGTTAAAAAATTTTTGATCAAAAACTCAACAACATACCAAAACACGGTACAGTATGGATTGATTTTCTTAAGTAAAAACAAAAAATTACTTAAGTAATTGAAATTAGCGGTCTGTTTTCTTTTAAACTAGAAAGTTTATATATAAATTTTGTTTTGTATTCTTGTTCGTATGTGTGTTTCATAAGATTTTTAATTAAAAATAATACTTTCAACGTTTTTATTAGATGTCATTAAAAAATATTGATCATATGATGCGTTACAAAAGTTTCTTTATCGTAATTCAGTTTACATTGATGCGACTGCGACTCAAAACTAAATCTCAACATTAAACATTTCATAATCTTTCGATTAATTTTTATACAAGTTCTGTTAATTTTTCTATTTGCATTGCAGGTACCAAATTTTTGAATTTTTGTTTTTTATACTGTAATTTTTGTTTTAAATTTTATGCTGTTATTAAATTTTATTTACATTTGTTTGTCAAATAATTTTTCAAAAATTTGCGGATTTCAATGTGTCACATGTCGCAGGAGTAGTATTAAGAAATCAGTTACCCCCATAAATAATCGTTAAATGTAAATAAATGCAACTTATCCCAAATACGATTACATAAAATGGTTATCAAATTATTGTCATAATATGTCAAAAAATTAATGTGTCAAATTACGAATTATTTCGGACCCTCCGTTATCTTAACAGTTATCTTGTCAGTTTTTATTACTGTTAATTATTTGATTTGTAATATGGACGGACAAATTTTAAAATACCGTAAATTTAAGAATATTTTTTATTTATATAACAAAGTTTATATTAAAAAATAAAAAACAAAAAAAAAAAACCAAGTAAATAATATTGTCAGTGAAATGAAAATATAAAAACAAAAATTGTAAGTATTTTTTATTCTGTTTTTATTTTTAATTTTTTTCTTTTTTTTTCGTTGAAAATTTATTCATGAACGAAGACAATAAAATCTACAATAAAATTTCACTCTCCCTTTTGGCAAAATATCATCAATATAATATAGTAGTACATTTATTATATACATATGTATGTACATACATTTATACAGATATTCAACTAAAAAACATGTTCTTATAGTATGTTGTTATACTTTATATAAAATGTTTGATTGTTTACAAACACGATATTTTTTTGATACATACATAAATACATATCTATATAGTTTAAAAGAATAGGTAAGAGGATGCTGCTGAAGATCTAGCGACAAGACAACCAATAAACAAAACAAAACGAGGGAAAAATAAAACAATAATAAAATTGATAACAATTTTTAAACTTATAAAAATCATAAGACACTGGCACACACATAGTTCAGAGATTTTGATATCTTTTGTTGACTTCTTTTGTATATCTGTATGTACATACATACATACATAAGAAAATTATATAGAGAGCTCAATATTAGTGTATGTGTTTATAAACCAACAATGAAATAATTTATGTAAATAATTTTGGAAACAAAAACAATTTCAAAAATTTTTGTGCCCTAGTCTAGAATCTATAGATCTTTTTTTTTTGTTTTTATTTTTGTATTTCAATCCCAGAATTATTCTTTTTTATTTTTCTTATATTTTTGATAATATGAAAAAGATCGAATAGATTAAAGGAAGCGATTTTGTTTAAATTTTTTCTTTTTATTTTTTTTATCGTGATTTTTTCTTCGACTTTTTTTATATTTTATTATTTTTGTTGTCTCGTTTTCCAAATGTTTTTTTTTTTTATTATTTGTGTTGTTGTTTTTTAATGATTGCCCTTTTGTTGTTGTTGTTGTTGGTGATTCACATCATCATCAACATCCTCATCAACAGGAATTATTATTATTATTATTATTTTTTTTTTTTTGTATCTTTAACAAAAGAGATCATCACGAGGGTATGAATGATTATTATCATCTGTTGCGCTTTTAAATACGTAATATATGCATTATGTATGTTTGTACAGATTTGTATGAGTAGTAGAATAACATAATTTTGATATTAGTTAATAAGATATAGATCCTTTTTCTTATTGGAATCAAAATCAACTAATTACAATGAAGATTTTCATTAATAAATGTCTGATTTTTGTACAATTTATAAAAGTGCAGAGTAGACTATTTATTAAAGGCATGTGGGTACGTTCATATTCACATATTATGTACTGAACTCTTGAGATACTCTAATATATTCATTTCTTTTGATGTTGATAAAATATCTTACTTATCATTTATCATGTCTATAGTGCAGAAAAATTGATCGAAGTAAGTACATACTGCATTATTATGTTGTAAGTGACTCGATTCTAGTTTAGTTTTGAAAATTATAGAATTTTCGATAGCTATATTTCAAGATCAATAATATAATATTTTGTTACATACATAAGTACTTGAAAGTAATCTGATTTTATAAGTTCAATATATGTTTTACAAATTTAATTAGCCACTCATAATAATATGTCTGAGTGTATGTACACGAGTTCAAATATTTCAATGTCTGGACGAAGATCTTCATTAATGGCAAATTATTTTTGATTTTAATTTTTTTTTTAATTATTATTACATATTATTATATTCTATTCTTGTAATTATATATGAATTAAATATGACCGTATTTAATGAATTTCAATTAAAAGTTTTAATTATTTTGATTAAATTGTAAATTGACGCGTATATATACGAAAACATCTTAATGCAAATTTAATGTCAATTTGACATTTATGTTAAATTATGTTAGAAATGGATTTAAGGTGAACGCCCTCTGTCTATAGTCCCTGTCACAACATACGAAACTTTTTTAAATATTTATTTAGGCACTATTTCCAGTATAAGTGGGTAATCCAATTAAACAAGAAATATACAGCAGAAATCATAATATTATTGAAATTTAATCAAAATTTTTTAAATATTGGCAAAAATATTGGCAATTTTGTTTTGATGAATGCCATACATTGTTGCTCTCTAAAAATAAATTCACAATATATATTAAGCTTAAAAACGTTCATACATTATCTTAATCGAATTTAATTCACAAAAAAATCTAGAAAAAACAACACACAAAATATAAAACACAAATAAATTACTTTATTATAACAAATTAGAAATAAACAGAAACCAAAAAAAAATTAAAAAAAAAAAATGTTTGCATCTTGTAGAAATGTTTGTATTCTTAAAATCATTTATAATTTTGCCGCGTTCACAGGTCGCGATCTTTTTGTTACTTTTTCCTATATAATAATGTAGTCATAATTATATGTGAATATCATGTTCGTTCATAACTTCAACATTATATACTATTATATATACGAGTACTACATAAATTAACATGTATATACATATATAATAAAAATCAGTGATATATACTCCTTTTAAAAAGGTTATTGGGATTAATAGAAAAATAAGAAAAAATTAAACAACATGAAAAAAGAAATTGTTAAATTCTTCCTATATTTTTCACATACATATACATTTGTACATACAAACATACATAATACATAAAATAAATAATAAATGGCTCCTCTTCATCAATTTTTATTTCATCCATCTAATTGCATTCACCACTTTTTAAAATATATATATGTTTATTATATAACAGAACATTGTATAGCTATACTGTAAAATGAATAATATGACAAAAATGTCTTTTTAAATAAAAAGAATATTTTCGAGATTTTCAGCACTCTTCTAATAAGTTTTTTATCACGCTATTGTATTTGCTATATTTATGCTTTTGTCCGGTTGTTTGTTCATTTACGAAACTCTTCCGATTAGGTTTTATCTGTTGACAATTTGGAAATATTTTAATTTATTCAAAAGGGCAACACAATTATACAATGAACTCGGCTTAATTCAATTGACAATCGAATATTCGACTCCTAGAGTATTCTCCTTGGGGCAGGAATAATGCAATTATCTGAAATAACTAATATATCCAACCTAGATGTATGCAAAATTATTGAGTAATTTAAAAAGTATATGCAACTATTATAAATATACTGCCTAACATTTAAAAAGAAAAAATTGTTAATCTGAAATGTGCTTGTTTATAATTAATCATTGCTTTTGATCACGAGAATTTTTCATGAATCTAATTAAATAAACATTTAAGTATTCATGTACATAAAAATTAAGTGCATACACACAAACTCACAATTATGTGTATTCATACGATAAACGTATAGTATAAATATAGTAAATAAGTATGTATATGTAAGAAGGAAAATGAATAGGAAAAGCAAGAAGTTATGCATTTAGTATATTACATAACTTTTAGATT